GTCCTTTTTCCAGCTTTGTGTTTCGATTGTGTCTGTGTTTTGTTTTTGTTTCATCATTTATTTATTTATTTGGTATTTATTTCTGAGGAAGACCGTCACAGTTTAAAGAAAACCTTATAAATGCTGTCTTTGGATAAAATAACACTGAGTACATTTTATGCCTATAGGTCATTGGGCAAACATACGAGAATCCCGGAAATTATGTGGAACATCTATTAGCTTCTTTGAAAAAGTGAGATATGGCTCAAGCGCAATTAAACGTTTCATCATGAGAGTTGCAGTACGTTATTGATAAATGCACTTCAGCACCTCAGCACACGTACCTACCTCCTCACGCAACTGTTCCTTTTTGTGACTGTCAACAGCATTTCTTGGCCGGCATTGTTTAAGATTTCTGATAAGCATTGGGAAAAAATACACCGATTGGGCTAATGTGAAAGTAGTGAAAAGTGACAATGATAAGGCGATAAAGCTGAAAACCAAACATCATTTCCATTGTATGGCTGCTTTTATGTCTCTTGATATTTGATAAACTAGGCTATTGTGGAAGCCAACCTTACTGTCTGCCCGACCTGAGACTTGGTCTTTGTTATTGCGAGGTCATCCTGATAAAAGACGCATTGTTTCCAGCCTTCCCTTTGGTATTTGGAAGATTTTAGTTATGTCGCATTCCATGTGATACCATTTATTATTTTTCAAATACACGTAGTTCGATGTTTTTTGAAGGGAAAGAAACAATGACAATGTTATTTCCCTAAAACTGTATTGAAAGCGTATATTTAAATGGCACAATGCGAAGTTCCCCTTATCTTGGGTTTATATACACTGCAAAGTTTTTCTATGAAGTTGTGTTGACCACGCACGCGTACATTATATTCCAGTACATGTTATTTCAAAAGTGAACGATTTTATTTTTAAGAAACTAAAACTAAGTTCTAAACTGTAGACCTTCTGTCTCAGAAAGTTTATGATAGTCCTGATGAAACAGTCCTCGTGGTTTAATTCACCCCCTTAAAGTATACGAGTTGCCGTCGCGGATCTCAACAACTAGGATCCGAACTGCTGGGTTCATCAAATTTTCCCGTTTGGAAGTTCGGCCAAGGTCGAACTGCGTGTTTCAAGGTTATCGGAAGCACTCTGTCACTTGTTCCTTTAACTGAACGAAGTTCAGAGAACCGTTAAACCGGTGAGTCGAACCAGTGGCATAAATCAGTGCCTGAAATTGCGGGAAACAAGGGGAATGAGGAAAGGTGGGGCATGACCATGAAAATTTGAAAAGGGGGGGGTGTCATATTACTCTGTATAGAGGTACCGTTAGATGTTCATGATATCGATGTACATCTGTAATATGTACACAATATGACATATTATAGCTTTTTATCATTATTTTTCCTTTTTTGAGTGATATTGAATGCATTTTAGTCGTTGGAAGTCTGAAAATTCTTCTCAATCAGCTTTGATTTTTTTGCTCAACACAAACAGGGGGGGTTCAACAGCCCACCCCCCTTAAAAGGTGGGGGATATATACCCTCAGCTCCCCCGAGATTTATGCCCATGGGTCGAGCGCAGTTTTTGCATGGGTATTGCGCAATAGAGAATGCGCAAGGTGTCCTATATGCAGTTTTATTCCCCTCACTCAGACCGCGCCCCTCGGTTTAAGGTCATGAACGCAAACTTAGAACACGAGTCCGCTTGATTGAGTAGGATGCCACCATTGTGCCTCTGCATCGGAGCATGCTGTCGGTGCAGCATCCGCAATTAGGTCTCGATTTAAAACAAAAGACCAAACAAGACGTATTGACACGTCTGTAACTATGACTGATTTCGGACTGTTCTTGACCCGAAGTCAAAGAAGGGAGGCCAGTACACGTGGTTTCGATTACAACTCCATGCCTACCGACCTCGAATTAAAGAGGGAAACCTGTATGCTTCATTTCCAGATCATCCGCGTTCTCTTTGCCTGTATGGGGTTAACAACTTAACGTTGATTAATGAGCCTCCAATTAGAGAAAAAGGGAAGCTGAAATTGTACGATGTTAAAGACAATGTACATGTACAACTTTGTTTCTCTTCGAGTGCAGCTCTTGCCAAGCTTGCCATCACGTTCGGACGGTGTCCGTTGAAAAGCACGTAGGATCCACTACACAAAAAAAAACGGTTACTATTGTCTGCGGCACCCTTTTGAACTTAAAGTAACGATATTGCTGTGTCACAACGAGATAGAGAATTGAAACCAATCAGTGATGTAGCAATTCCCATAGAGAATTGAAACCAATCGCACTGAAGAAACTCCCGTCTCTGTCCTGTTGACTGCGAGAGCTGTTGTGAACAAAGTATCTTATCCGTCGAAATGGAAGGCAAAATTTCCCCCAGGGTTTTAAAGCTGTTGAGCATTTACGTAGCTAACATGACTGCGAAAGATCATGCACCAGATTACATTGTACTCCCAAACCTGATGTGTGTGATTATCAAGAATTTTTAATTCGAGCCAACGGATCCAGGTCATTCCAGCCTCTAAATAAGCGTCTGCCCTTTCTGTCATGAATATGTTTTCTACTCACTAGACTTTTCTCTTTTGATAAAAAAGTGCCATTACAAAACGCGAATTCGTCTTTACGGCACAGCGGTCAAAACACTGACCACTGATCATAACATTCAAGAGTGACCATCAAAGGGTACTAATAATTTGATAATACACGCTGGCACCTTGCAATATCTGGCTAAAGCTGAATCAAACTGCCAACAGAATGACATAGCCCAAGTTTGTGCTAAAGTCCCCCCCCCCATTGTTTGCACGTTTTTTCCCTCAATAATTTAGTTGAGATAAACATTATCACCGCGGTGGATGACAAATACAGGAAAAAGATAATCGATGACTCGCGGTGTCGTGTTGCAACACGACACCGCGAGTCATCGATTATCTTTTTCCTGTATTTGTCAATAATTTAGTTGTGTTAATTTAGGTGTTATGTTAAGTGTAAATGATCGAAGAAGACTGTGAGTCTGTATTTTGTGAGAAAAAAATTGAGCAGAGACCGCTCGGCGGATCAACCGCCTTAAGACATAAAAAGCTATTGCACTATGGTGTTCTGAGGAAAAGGGATAAATTGCTTCCAAAGTTTAAAGGGATTACATACTAATGAAGCTGTTAAGGGGTGAACTCGGAAGTGAAAGTAGGCGTAGCAGGAGGAAGCGCGTGTATTTTTGTTTTATGGGAGAAGACAAGTTGTTCCAGGCTCTGCTTCCATTTCGAAACTAAAGTGCCATGCACAACACGTGCATCCGCCATGATTAGTAGAAGTTTTGAAAAAAAAGAAGTTGTAAACATCTCGTCATTTGTTGGGAAATACCAGCACTGGTAAATGTCCCAAATTGGATGGGATGTATTATAACAGCTATCCGTATCCCATCAGTCGGAGTGTTGGGAAAGTTTTGAAACTTCTGCAAAGCATCTCTACCAGAAAACGTTTGTTCCCAGAGGCATTATGAAGAGTTCAAGTTTGTCTGAAGTAAATTTTACCCATCTATAATCAAACAACATTTTAAAGGTTGTTTGGATCATGCAAATCAAATTTAGGCCAATACGGGGAGGGGGAGCAGGGGCAACTCCCCCCCCCCCACGGATTTTTTCCCTACAATACCTCGTAGGTGAGTAGGAAAGAAAGTAAGCGGTATATTCATTCATCAAATATAAGCACCAAAATCCTAATAAAACAATACTAGCAAATGAAAGCAAGGATGGCGGGACCGTGAGTAAGGCTTTTGATTTTTTCTTCCCAAAATCATGTTGAATAAGCCCGAACTTCAGCAGCATTCACTATTGAAATTGGCTCTCTGACTCAACCGTTAAAGGCAACAGTTAGGTCATGCTAAAAATATGCAATTTTCTGGCAGGGCCCTACAAATACAATTGCAGTTGTTTCGCGAAAGTAAAGGTTACCAGGGGTGTCAAAAGCACTTTCAGCTCAATTTCAAACTAGATCTTGAAAGCGAGGTTAACTCTTCCTTTTTAGATTTTCAGGTAGAGATTAAAGCAGTTAAATGATTATTTTCATGACAAATTAAATCATGTCTACACTCCGATGAATAACTGCATATTTGTGACTGAACATTCCTCGTGTTTTCGGTCATTTTGAAAAAAAAAATGGACATGGAGGCTTGCAACGCACGGCAATCCTAAAATAGTTTGATAACCGTAAATATCAGCAGATTGCAATTCATAAAACAGATTCAGGGAACAAGATTTTGGCTTCCTCGCCGACACATGATAACAGTGCTTGTCCTTGAGGGGTGCAGACCAGTAAATCAGTTGCCTTAGACAACAGTGATAAATATCCCCACTTCAAAAAATCGGGAAAATACAAGTTTCACAGGTGTTCCAGACACATATCAAATTAAAGCTCACTTCCTCATCTTTCATTTTCCTTTCAATTTGCAGTGGCTTAACCAATGACTTTTGAAGATATTTCTGTCCAGAGAAAATCACCCATAAAAACAATCAGGAGGCCCATCGCCATTTCGGAAATTGATAGGCCTACCTACACTCCATGGCAAAATAGAGCAATGTGGAGGGCCCCGTTTGGTCCGATACTTTCAAGCTGACAGTCCCTCCCCTGGATATCATCTACCTTTTAACAAACCACCCAGTCCATGTGCCACGAAAGGCTCTGATAGCAGAGAATTTGACAGCTTGCAAATCGTGATTGGGTCCGCGCAGGCAATTTTGGACCTATTTATTACTGGCCTGCAAGCTGAGGGTTTTGGAGTCTCCTGCCGCACTGTTTGCTGGGAGGGACCCACATTTTGGCAAGCTTAGCGGGGTCATTCTTTGGTAAACCCCTGTACACACTATAAAATTCTCTCAGGACAAGTGGTAACCAATGGTTGCACTGAGCTCAGATGTGTGGGTGTCTTGTCTAGGAACATCAAGTAGGTCACGGCCAAAGTACATGTACGCGTACTTTTGTCTGTACTGGTACAATGTACAACAGCTGTGTGTATTTATACTGGCACTGGACGCTGCTTTTTATTGATTTCCCCAGGGAAACCTCAAAACAACATAACAAGAAAACACACAACAGCTCATTGCAACAGACACCTAACAGTCATACCCATGATCTAAATACCAAGCAAACAACTATAAAGGAAATCTTTTCATTAAAAAAATAATATTTTCGTCGTCCTTGTACAATGAAATCATACTGGTAGCATGATTGTAAAACTACATGTATGGTTACAAATTATGTAAATACTTGGTTTACTGTCAATGCAAGAATATAATATTTAACCTGGCAGTTTGCCTGAGTTGTAAAAATATGACACGAGTGTATACCAGAAACGTATATACAACTTTAATGCGGGCCTAAACATGTCTCCATACAGTATGATTTTACGTGTAGATATATGTACAGCTGAGAATAATCTGGACTTTCGACAGAAAGTGTGCTGGTGTTGATCGCCGCTTTCCTGTGAAAATTGTTGCCCCTTCCCACATGAAAGGCATCTGCTCCCACTCAGAACCTGATCTTGTCCAATACATGTACTCCAGCTCTCCCTTTGCCAAAGCCTGGGGAAAAAAACTCGAGCGGCTAGAGTTTCTGAAGTGCTTTGTGATTCACGGGTGAAACCTGAATGTTCACCTCATGTCTCAGGGGCTATTTTGAAACATAAGAACACCATAGATGACGATTGGTTGGGAGCTGTTCTTATTCCCCTGAGCATAGTTGCCTGAGCACAGTATAGCCAATATCTGAATATGGAACTCACAAGTGCTACGTGATATCAAATCAAATTTTAAAAATTAGTTTTTGTACGTTGTCAGTTCCTCCTTTTTCCTTGATCACGCCTCACTGTCGACCTGACAGATCGGAGGAAATCAGACTGCTCAGGAATTCCCTCGCACTTACAGGTTAGCATCAGTTTAAAGACCTGCTTAAAGTACGGATGCTTTGTGGCGTAGATGATGGGATTGATGCAGCTGTTGACCAGAAACAGTGCCGCGGTCCACGGGATGACAGGGTCGCTAGGCGGTATGAGCAGAGCCACCCCATAAGGCATGATGCAGATGGTGAAGGCGCAGACCACGTAGAACAGGTTCTTGGTGATCTCGATCTGGCGCCTGCTTAGGCGCCTCTTGGCCACGCTGAGGTTCTGCGAGCGCCTGGGCGACAACTCCGTCTTGCTGCACTTGACGCTGGACCCGCTGGGGTTCTCCCGGTTGTTGGAGGTCTCGGACAGTTCCGCAGACTGATCCTGCTTGCCCATGAGCACTTTGGTGTGTTGCCTCACATGCTTGAAAATCTTCACATAACAGACGATGATGATGAGAAGAGGGACCGGGAAAAACACCACCGACTGCAGGAGACTGTAGTACGGCGCCAGTTCGTGAGAGTTCTTATGAGTGCAGGTGCTGTACTTTTTTGTGTAGCCAAGCTCCCCAAGTCCAAGAGTCGGGGGAAGCCAAGCCACCAGGAGCGGCACCAGCCAAACGATCACGACCATGATGGCCAGGTAGGCTGGCTTGTAGCACGTATGGTAGGTTCTAGAAGGGCGGGTGATTAGCATCCACCGGTTGATGGCTATCGTGGCTAACGTAAACAGGCTGCAGCCGCCGCAGGTGTAGACGATCAAAGCCAGTGCTACACAGAGTTTCTCCGGCAGGGGCCAGCCGAGCTCGGGCCGTGTGAACAGCCCCACGGCGTTCCAAGGCAGGGTCAAGCACACCAGCAGGTCGGCCACTGCAAGGTTCACCACAAATACGTTTGTCACTGTCCGAAGCTTTCTGGACAAGACAACCGCCAGAATAACCAGTCCGTTCCCGAATGTTCCCAAAATTGAGACGATAACGAATATGGTACCTACAATACACCTCTGGGTGTAGTCGTTAAATTTGAATGCTCCCTCGTAGTAATCATAGTCTGCAGTAGTGGGCTCACCGTAACCAGCCAATGTGGTAAACTCCGTTGGCGTGGACGTTTCGTTAGTCTCCCTGACAAGATGCCTAGATGTATCAGGGCTGATGAAGTCTGTTGCCCCTTCCATGTTTTATTGGCAAAAGATTCGGAGGTATATGGGTGGTTGGAATACCGTTGAAAATACAGCCAGTCTCAGGGCAGCAGTACCTTTATGAAGAGCTGAGCCTAGTCGTACATAAAAAGCCCATGCTTTGTGAGTGTGCTCGCCGGTAGCTTTACATAAACAATCCCGCAGAGTTTGACTGAACCATAACTGAACCAAGGGTCAAGCCCATTCCCAACGGGGGGATGCACAGACGATCCACTCAGCTGATCCACAAAAGTTGTCTGTCGACGCATGGAACTATGGGCCGAATCATGACACCGCTGGTGTGTATCCTGTCAAACAACTGCAAGTTCAGTTAGTCACTTCAAACGGGTTCAACCTGCGGTTGATGACACTCTGATGATGCACCTGCATTCGCTGAAGGAAAGGCTCAACGTTGACACAGCAGTTTCCCAGAGCATGCATATAGCATTGCCGTAAAAAGAATTGTCAGCCAGGTCACGGTACGCTGCACAGACTGAATAAAATCAGTGGTGTAGCACTGGTCCTTTGAAACAGAGTGGATTCTACATGTATATCATAATGTTGCTTTGCAGACTGAGAAGGCCACTAGACTGACTCACACATGTATTTGTAAACATATTTTGTCCGGTCTATCTATTGACCACTTTTTGGGTGTAACTTTATTTTTTTTTTATTCGGCGTAGACGTTGCATCTTTTCTGTGAACCATGTATACGGCTGTGGTGACGCTTGTAGCTGTATGCCTAGCTTAAATACTGCATTTTGAGTCAATAAAAGTCGCAAATTTTAATGAAAGTTACCAGGGTTGCAATGATTCCCTCTGAAGTCTTTAGAATAGTAATTTCATGTTATTTCCAGGCGCATAATAATGATCATGCCACTTTTAAATACATATTGAAATGTATGGAACATTCGATTCAAGAAAAATTCCCGGAATAGATGACTGGCTTCTTTTGCACGTACGAGATGTGTTGTTTAGGGTACAATTTACAATATTAGATATTTGTCTTGAATGTTGTTCTTTGGGTCATTTCTTTAAATCAACAAGGTCAGTGTCCAATGTTGACCATTTAAACATTCGGCTAAAGTATTGCTTTCCTTGAAACTTAACCACTTTGCAAACATGAGGTTCGAATTTCACATGGTAGGCCTATTATACACCGTAGTGCTGTGACATCAGTTTCGTGAATTTCTTCAGCCGACCTGCTCCGCCTTGTTATGTGGGCTGGAAAGTTCTCAAATGCAGTTTTTTCCAGAACAAGTGCATAGGTTATTGTGTAATGCGTCATTAGGGTAGTAGAAGCGTGATTTTTGTTTTTCAAGACAAACATAACATGGGCAATAGAGTGCTTCCTCCAAGATAGTGCACGTATTTCCTATTACCACTCGTGTAAACAACAAATCAAGTGTTTAAATCGTTAAATTTCGTGCAACCATTTACAATTGCGCAAGGCATTTTATGTCTTCTTGAAACGCGATTTTTGACACGTTTTTCTGAGCTTGAAAGAAATGTTGAACTGAAACAGATGTGTTCCAAATTTTGTTTGTACAATTAGTTTTTTTGTTGGGAGACGGCAAAATACTTCAAATTAATTACCGACCCGGTACATTTTCTTGCCTGGTTTCATGTAAAAACATTTGGTTTTCAGGAAGGACGCCCAGTTCTGCTACAAAGAATTTGTAGCTTTAAGTGAAAAGATGGTCCTATATTCCATCGCTCATAAAGATCACATTAAGGTTCATGCATGATTTATCTTCTCTTCTTTCCAAATTCAAACATTTCTTGAAACATTTTGGCTCGAGCACAGACGAAAATCATGAGTATGTCAACTATGTATGTCAGTGTACAAAGGTCTCGTGAATTAAGGCCAGATTATGTGATCGGCTGACAACTGGGTCTATGTTCTGTGCACGCCCTTATGTGTTCAAATTCAACGAACTCCCTGATAGTACGGATCCCTCTTTCCTCGTGATGGGCCAATTAAAATTCATTTTGGAAAACATTTAAAAATCATTCTTCACATTGAAAGTAAGTCGAGGGTTTCAATGTCAGGCGTAATTAGTTTAAAAGACAGCCAAACAAACGAGAAATTTACTACTAAATATCTGCCTGCTGCAGTTTCACAGCGAGTACCTTTATGGCCTGTTGAACGGCAACACGCTGTTGGTATTCATCATGCTAATGCTAGAGGTGTCATCATGTCACATGGCGATCAATGTGCCGTTTGGGCAGCACACAGTACAGCTACATAATTACTGAAGCATGGAAGTCAACGGGGATGTGGATCTGGTTAAACTCTGCCTTTACTAAAAAGCCATACTTTGATTCGAAAAATCGAGCCAACATAAACTTAAAAATTAACGTAGACCTACATGTAGGTCAATATCGGGTTTACTAATTAACAGGCCCTCGGTGTTATAAGACTGTAAAGTGAATGTAACCTCAATTGCATCAGATGTTCCTTTTTCACGACGCTCACCAGCACCCCGTTTAAATATAATTCGCATGCATCATGTCCACATATTGAATTTATATATGTTTATACATCCTATTGTTTGTCCCGCTGAATCAAAAACAACATAGATACATTTTCTACCATAGGCCTATATCATTGTAGTCCCTGGTTGTCTGGGGCAAAAGAGAAACCTTTATTTGTGGTTGTTATTTAAAAACAAATACATGCTTTTCCCATATCACATAAAGCTGCACACATTTTTCTGTCGCTCTTGTACACAGGTGGACGCACGAGTCTAGACACACGTCAAATACAAGAGCTCATAAGTAAACGTCGAAGAAACCAAAGCGGATTAAAGGTAACGAATTTTTTTATTTTGTAAGCATTTTAAACAAAACTAAGCTCTCGTTTAGAGTTGCAGTGTTACCTCAGGCTGGTATTGGAGGGAACAGAAGAGAATTTGTATGGAAGTTTTTGTCGGCACCTTCGTGTTGCATTTACTTTACCGTCCTGGCAGTTTGTATTGCAAAGCTGTTTCGGTGCCTCGCTAAATGTTGCTGTAAGTGCAAATGTTTGTGTTCGTGAGCGAAACATTTTGATTCGTTGAAGCCCAGGAAGGGACAAATCGGGGAATTTTGTTACCATTGTTATTTCCTTCTCTAGAATTATTTCGGTTCCACGAATTGCTAATGTGTTCGTTCGAATTGTTAGTTTCGTTCCCACAAAACAATTATTCGTTGGGCAGCGGATCGGCGTATCCAGCTTTTGGTGTACCTGTGTGTGTGGGGGGGGGGACAAACTCAAAAGTGAATGGGGCTTCGGGCTCATTCAATATGATGTTAGGAAGAAAGAAATCAAAAACTTTACCCACATCCCGACATCTTTGCTTTCATTTGCTGGTGTTTTCTTAGTACCGATTACTTTCTGTCCTACTCACCTATGAAGTATTCTTTGTAAAAAGCAAACACCCCAACAAACACCCCTCCTGTCCCCACGGCCGGATACGCCACTGGGTTAGGTACGAATTACTGACTTGGTCCCACAGATTGCTGGAGTAATTTGTGTATTAATTAAAACGACTTTTGTGGGAACGAATTGTCATTCTTGGGAACAGTTAGTACCATAGAATTTAGTGCGAACGAATCGTTACATCAGTGATACTGGTGTCAGGTCATGCACCACTGCATATCCGTGCTTGCATACAGTTATGCGATCGGAAATGCGCGATGACTGGTTTTGTGTGCCCTCTGCTTTATACGTCCATTTATCTGGTCATAAGGGAAGTTCGCTGAACAAGTAAGTACCGACAGGATATCGGTTTCAGTCTTTTTATATAGTTTGGTGTCAGAGACAATTGGCTCTTACGACAAACTTCCTTTTCTGTGAGTCAAGTTCATTGATAAAACGAGACAATGGGGACAGACTCTCGCTGCGGTTTCATGCAATGAGAGTTTACCTCGAACGGCCGGGTTGTAGGCTTACTGGGGTGGAAACTATAGTTTGTTCAGACAGCGTCTGTGCAAGTCAGTGCTGGGCACACTTCCCCCTCATTGTCCTACTTTACACATGAATGGGCCGAATTTGAAATAATTACTCATGATTTTCCACGAGTGCTCCACCGTGGAATCTGAGTGCCAGCTTGAAGGTAGCCTTGATCAGTGCACCGGGATCGTCTTACATGCAGTCAACCCGCCATAGATGAAAACCAAATCCCAGAACATTGCCCGTGTTGCCATCATAACCTGCTGATGCGCTATGTACATGTACAGTAGGCTACATCGGTGCCTTGTGTTGTGTGCCTCGATATTTTACGCACAGCGCAGTAAACGTGGATAGATATGTACACAAGACTGGCCCGTCATGCCTTTCGACTGGACAGGCCACTCTTGACATGCATACTCATACGCACGTGCACGCAGTACGTCTACGTTGGTTTGCCGTTTACCAAACGGTAGTCTTGTTCCCCACCCAAAGATTCCCTGACGACTCTTGATAAAAAGGTTGGGCATCACCGACGGATATAAATAGATATGACGCAAGGGTCAGGGGTCAGAAGTTGAGAGCCCGGGTGTTTTCGATTTCATGATCAGTGGCAACATCTAAAGAATAAGGCTTTTCCCAAATAGGCAATACTGTAAGTGTACCCCCACTGGGATCATGTTTCAGGCACAAAGCCTGCATTGGTCAAAGAAAGTTAGATTTTGCTTTTTGCCTCGCATTTACTTCAAGTCGACCTTCGATTGCAGTGTATAAAGTCAAATATTGTAGGATCAACAGCTGCCATTATATAGGATGCGGGAGTTTACGTTCAACAGCCAGCCTACCTACACCGCTGTGAATTACCGAACATCAACGGTACCATCCGAGCATGCCGAATATAGACGGGACGTCTTCGGAATATTTCGTTATTTCCGGAAAAGTGGAGGAATTCCTCCAGTCTTGGTCACGTGGACATTGGGTGATACCGGACCCTTGATTTGTAGAGTAGTCTGAATCATTGGGTCTGGTATCCAGACTAACTGTACGGCAGTTTGTATATTCTTTGACAGTGCATGTATAGCGTCACTCATTTACCGTGGTTTGCCCTTCGATAAGTACATGTACGTACAGACCACCTTGGACAAGGCTAGCTTGAAAGCAGACTGTTCCTTTCATACTCCACAGAGCTATAGGGACACAGCCATGTTATTCCGGGATTTCTGTCAACGACCAGGAGTGAGGCGGGATCGCTGTCAAAGAAACGTGAAGAATACTCTGAAAAGCGTGCGGTGGTGTAGTAACTTGCTGCAAGATACCGTTAGACACAAGGGGCGCTATTGATAAGATCTTACAACATTGCCGAAGTTCGCATTTTCGTCCTAAACGACTTCGAGCGACGACTACTCGCTCAATACAGATTGCTGTCAAAATCCGTCCAACGCCACCCAAACAGAAAATATGCGTAGTTCGACCATCAAGTCGACCATTTTGGCTTTTTTGATCACGATTCAAACGCTGGTCATCAATTAAATGAGAGGTGAACCGTTGTTATGAAAATAACTGAATACACCGGCAAAAACCTAGAAAGCTGGGAGAGAATGAGAATTTAAAATAGACTAGAGTTGTTCGAGCTGCATTAACGTAAGCACAGTTGACCAAAGGACCAAGTCATCGCTCAAACGTAACCTAAAGTTAAATTCAAATGTTGCTCACTGGTTCCTTGCATCCCTAAGTTTCATTCATGTCTAGCTTAGCCTTAAAAGAGCGTGGTATATTTTGAACTCTCCAGGGCCGGATCCAGGATTTTCCCTAGGGCGGGGGCGTGATCCCAGATTTTCCAAAAAGGGGGGGGGGTGAACTAAAGCAGTAATGGTAAAATGCTCGCACGGCGTGGGTTCTGGAGCCATTTTGTATTCTTGGCACTCTTTGGTACAATTTCAGGTAGTATGACCTCTCTTTTTGCTTCTCCCTCTTTTTCTGCTTTTTCATCTATTTTTTCGGTGAAGAAAAGGGGGCATGCGTCCCCCACGCCCCCTGGATCCACCCGTGCTATTGTTGTGTATCGGTATTCTTTCTCAGAGCCTTATGTGCAGCAGCAGCGCAGACACAGTCATACAATAAAAAAGGGACAGGTCATCACTTTTCAACTCCGCATTCAAAACTATGACATCTGGCTACTACACGCTGTGACTAATTTAATGTTCGACATCACTACATTATCTCACAGCTGGGGGGGTGCGGATTCCGACTTCCCCTAAGAACTTGGCCGTCCCGGCCACGCCTTATTTTTTAAAACTTGGCGTGCATGATAAAACTCTCGTTAGGATAAAGTAATGTGGAGTTTCAAGTTAATCTGACATACCTGTATAATTTTGTTGTTACGGTGACTTGCAGTTAATAGCCACACACGTGTCAACCCACGTGCATTGAGCACGGCAGTAGAAAAGTACTCATTTTTTTGCTGGTCTGTCTACAGGAACTGCGCGAAAACGGACTGCAAGGAGTTACTGTAAAACATGTAAAAGTCAGGTTTGTGAAAGAAGTATATTTTTGCGATATCGCGGACAAGTTGTTGATGGGGGCAGATTAATCGATTCCGCCTCTTTTTTAGGGTTAATTTCTCTGCTTCTGCTCACTGCAAACAAAATGGGAATCAAACAACTCTGAGTGTAATATCCCCGTGGAAAACGGCGCAACGCTCATGGAGCACCAGCTCGACTCATAGCAGCGCTACGATTTCCTATCCGCCCAGAGTTGAAGCGCACCCCCAAGCAGCAAAAGAAAGACAGATGGCAGTAAGTTTTCCGAGCGGGTTCTTGCCTGCGTTCTGGGTAGCAAAGACCGTACATTGTAGGCGTATTCGAGACCTCATTCTCATGGGACTCATGAACAGGGTCGTTGATTACGAACGCCGAAGTGCAAAAGGAGTGCAGCTGCGCTGAAAGTCAAGAAAGTAGTTGCCATTTTGACACTAAATGAAGAGGCATGACGTTTGCCATCTCACGTTAAATAAAATCCCCAAATATCCATATTAAAAGGTCAGGGTGAGTTCTCTCCGATAGCCATGAGTATTGGCCCTCAGTTTTATTTTCCTTATAGTGAATGTTTTCTATTTTATGTAACAAAACCAACACTAAATTAGTGTGCCTATATTCGCCATCTTTGTTCCTGATGTTCTTCATCCACTCCCTAGAGAGTGAGGAGTGAGAATCTTGTTCGCGATCAATGTTTGCGTGTTGATTCTCCCCGTTCAAAACCCTTCTCGCGTTCGTCTAACACGAGGACGGGGTTTTAGAATATGCCCTGAGGAATCCGCCCCGAGTTAAAACGCATCCCCAAGCGGTAAAAGAAAGACAGATGGTTGCGAGTTTTCCAAGCGGGTTCATGCACGCGTTCTGCGTGTATGCAAAGACCATACATTAACCCTGAATCCTCAAATTTTAATATGATTTTGCTCACACCCTAGGGAGTTGGGGTTAAGGAATACATACGTTTGTACTCAGCGTGCTTCACGTAAACGCGCCACTGGTCTCTATTATAAACGCACGCCAATGCGCTTAGTACCAAAAAACAAAGAAACAAAACAAAAAACAAAAAAGTCTTCGTTTGCGCCGCTCGGAGCAGATAGTAAAAGCTGAGAAGGCGGAAACTGGAGTATCAGAGCCTCACCCTACTTTGGTTTTGCTTCATTAATTTTGTTTGTTTTTCGCTCTGCGTCATTGCGGTCGTAATCAGGGTGACATTATCCCCTTGATCAAATTGAAAACGCTGAGTTGAAAAAACTCGAGACCGTGTAACGGATTTCAAAAACCGCAGCAGTATAAATGATAGTGATATAAATGTTCAAGCTCTGTTAAACCTTTGATATGAATGAAGACAGAAGAGATTGCCAACCCCACTCGCGATTAAAGAACCAAACACGAGTAAAACCTCTCCCAGACCTGAATATAGGCTGTAGCTCAGCACCCGGATTGTCAGGGCTATGGACAACTCCCATACAGCTTGCATGGGTGGCCAAAATATCGCCTTTTGGTTGCTTTTAGATTTTATCTTCAGTTTGCTCAAAATGGACACTTGTTTCAATTATATTAAACAAGGTTGTATTTTCGTGTCGTACGTGTATTATCATCTCACGTTCTAAAAGCTGCTTGGGCTTTTTAAAATTCGACATTTTCTTCTACTTTTTTACCGACGTCAAAGCGTAGTTGTAGCAGCCATTTGTAGGAAAAACAAGACTGTGACGCAAAAGGAGCGGACCCAGGCCTTTAATTTTGCTGTAGATGCTGCCTCATGGCAGTAAAAAAGAACCAATTATCTACGAACTATGATGTCTGTACAACTGAACACAGGCACCAGCTTCTCCGCTTTTATAATGAGGTACAATTCGCCATTCCTCCAATAAAAGGTGAGGTCAAGCAGGTTGGGACGTTCCATCTGAAGAAGATGCGGGTACATCGACCATATAAGTGGTTTGTTTGTAATAAAAACGTGTGAGTGGATGACGCATACAACGAACCACGATGTCTTTTGAACGAGGCCCGATGACTGATCGTCGCCATCGCCCAGGACTACTTTTAATCACAAGATGACGGGATTGCAAGTAACGTTTGTTCTGTCTTCAGTCAAACCATATTTCGTTCCTTATTGATGGTCACATCTCACGAATACAGCGAACATTGGTCACATCACACTAATACAGCGAACATCGTTGCTCACCATGGATAATTCCACAGGGAGGCCACCGTTTGAATTCAGTGACTTGACCCAAAGAGCCATTGTTGCCACGCTTATTTTGATCATATCACTGATTGGAATCGCCGGCAACTCGCTGGTCATCTTGGCTGTGCTGTTGTCCACCAAACTCCGTACGGCCACTAATGCCTTCGTGGTGAACCTGAGCGTCGCAGACTTCCTGACCTGTCTCGTCATCCCATGGGACGCCGTGGCTTTGCTGAGTGAAGACGACGGCATGCTGGTTGGCGAGTGGGTCTGCAGCGTGGTGGGCGCAACTATCTTCACCACGGTCGGTTGCAGCATCTACACGCTAGCCTCGATCGGCCTGAACCGCTTCCTGCTGATAACGCGATCGACAGGCACTTACCGGAAGATCTACACCCCTCGGAAGATCGGCGTTTGGCTGTTGGTCATTTGGCTGGTGCCTCTCCTTACATGCACTATTCCACCGCTCCTAAACGTGGGCGCTCTTGGATTCAACAAGCAGTTCCGCTTCTGTGGGTCTATTAACACCCACCCTCGCTACAACACGTACAACCTGATCATTTCAACCGTCTTATACCCTATCCCATTTGCCGTCATTATTGTCAGCTACTCGCTGATCTGGATTCACCTGCGCCGTCAGGCCAAGAAGCTGGTTACCTCTCCTCACCAAAGACCCGTCACTCCCCCACCCAGCAGCGTGTCTGCGCTCTCGAGTCAGAAAGACGAAATCCCAATGAGCCAGCTCCCAGTGGGAGTAGCTACGACCAACGCCAGTCCGCCTCCGAGAAAAAACCGCCAGACCGAAGTCACCAAGAACATGCTATACGTCGTGTGTGGCTTTGGTGTCTGCCTCACCCCCTACTCAATCAACTTGTTTGTCAATGGCCACAGCCCACTTATACCTTACACCACCGTCATCGTGCTACTCAATCACTGCATCAACCCCTTGATCTATGCGACGAAGCACCGGGATTTTAAGAAAGTCTTCGGCTGCATCGCACGTTGCCAATGGGTCCTCATTCCCAATCCTTCGAATATTCTGAAGGCTCTGACGAGGTGACTTGATTAAGGCTCTGTACATGTATATGAATTAAGATATTCATAAAAATCACTCTAAGGTTGTTTCAAAGTCTGTTGTTATTGCAAATAAAATCACATCACTCGTACTTCAGCAGTCTTTGCGCATTTGTTTCTGTTCGTGAATTGATGTTTTTCTTTCTTTTTTGTATATTTTAAATGGCAAATAAACTTCCTGAACCCTTCAGTACCTATGGGTATTCTAGATTGGTGGGGTTTTTATTTCAAGCCGCTTGGTGTTTAATCGATGCAGGAATTTTATAATTTGTACACAGACAAAGTCATCATAGATTTTCTCTACATGACTTATAGTGAGGGAATAAATTTGTGCTTGGCCGGTCTTAAACGTACGTTTAAGCTAGAGCATTCAAGAGCGGCTTAAGAGCATTCATTCTCGTAAGCCGTTCATTATCAGCGTTCATTCTCCTAAGCCGGTGTTATTTTTGGTTTAAGACCGGCCAAGAACATATTTATTCCCATTCATAAATACCTTTTTATTCAGTCAATATATTACATACCATTTTATTCTAGAATTTATCTTTCATTTTCCCGAACACCCTGTCCATTTTATGGTATATTCCACGTGCAAATTGCCCAGAAATATCTCCATATATGGCATTAGCGCGTGCGTGGCGCGTTCTTTGTGCTGCGTGACACGCAGACTCTTGACCAATAGGGATGGAGTAAGCTGTCTCTTATCCAGGTGGCAGAGCGTTGTTTTACGCAGCGGGCATTGTCACATTTCATTGGGCATTACGAAATGTTAATACACGGTCCAGTTGCACGTTGTTGAATAGGGAGACTGTCTAAGGTATTTGCATGTATGAATGAATTTTAACACGTTGCAGTATCACTGTTTAATGCAATAAAACACAGGCACCGGTTTAATCATCTCTTGTTGTTGCTGCTTTTTCCCTTTGGGATTAGAAATACTGGTCATTAGCGCAGTGAAAGCGAACCCAGTTAAAGGTTCTTTGATGTAATGAGTTTTGATCAAGCCTGAGTCATTACTCTTAATCATTAGGGAGCTGGATCACGAACTAGGCCAATACACGAGTAGTAATGATATCAAAAAAGTGGCCGTAAATGTTATCATATTCAATGTATACCTGTCAAGGGGCAAAATAAGCATGCCTTGTTATGAGATTTATTCAGTAAATAGAGTCCATTTTAGATCTCCACTCAGACATCATTCTCTATTAAACAGACTTTTTTACATAACGTCACCATTTTTTAAAATTTCGTTCGTTTAATTCGTTGTTTTGCTTTAATATAACAACTTTCTTAGCTGTATTTACAGGGTTCCATGAGCAAATGTCATTCATGTCTGAATTGCATAAATGATGTAAGGGATAGGCCTAATTGCATTTCGCGTTTTCAAGAAGGGACGCGAACAATTCTGCCCCCTGAAGCGGGCACAAATCCTTATGTGTACGGTGTAAAAGTATAAGAAAACAAAGATTTACGTTTTTACAAGAGGACTGGCATCTCGAAACATACTCAGCCTCGCGCACGCAAATGTGAATGCTCTATCCACATAGATAATGAGCCAGTTTGTTATTTCCGCAGCGCGTGACCGAAACGAAGTGCGTCGGAGGTCATTCGGACACATGTGTCGTGGTATTTCCTATCAGCGCGGCCCTTCGCGGAGTCGCGCGTTTGCTTCGTTCCCGATTGACCTTGCTGTTTTGAAATACCGAACTCGCTCATGACACGTTATGAAAGAGCTGAAAAGTAGGTCAACTTGAGGTTTGGTTTTCACGGTGGACGGGCATCTTTATTGATTAAATTGAGCTAAATTACTCGTGATTTCGTGAAAATAACTGGCGCTTCATCATGTTTAGCTTTCAAAAAATTTTCCAATTCTTTTCGAATGCAGAAATTTCTTTAAAAGCCATATCTCGGAGACCTAAAGTAGGGAAAACTTCTCTTGCGATTATCTCGAAAATTTATTGCTTGTGAAAATCGACATGCCCGCCCCCTTCTGAAGGTGGTGACGATTAGAGCCTTGTAAGATTAAGGCCATCTATTTGTAGTAGGGTAATTCCAGAAATTAGGGGTCCATTTTTTTCATGTTCCTGTCACATCCGACATATATTTTTGTAAGTTCAGAACACATTTCCTGATTTCCAAGAGTGATGAATTAATGTCAATGAACTGCCAGACAAATAGTAATAGTTTGAAATCAATTCCAGTGATATTTCCATGCCAAATAACAATGGTCATATGTAACAGGGACACAAAAATATCACATTTTTGGACCCCTAATTTCTTGAATTACCCGTTATACGTGTACAATAAGTACAACGTACTTGTGGTTCTGAAAAACTTTTTTTTTCACTCACAGGTCCTTCCGTTCTGTAGTTCCCGGTTAACCAATCCCGTGACCTCTATACCTTTACAAGATTTGCAGCAGGATCTAAAATCTAATGTTTTATTTACCCTTGGCACGTGTCTCTACTTTTCAGGTGCAAGTAACTGCTTTGCTACATGTTGTTCATGTGGTTTGCTATAGACAATATGTGTAAAACAAGAAGTTAAAGCTGGTTTTTAATTACCTGTATAATACCCTAATCTAAATCACGATTTAAAAAGAAAACATTAACTGAAACACAATACAGATATATTTTCTTAGTTTGTAACTTAGGCCGACTTGCCTTCAATTTATTTCTTTTAATTTAACTTCAATGTCCAAAAATTTGATTCATATTTTAAAAAAAAAACTGGGAGGGAGGTTCCAATATTTTTCCATACCCCCTCCCTCCGAAAATGGGCACATTAAAGAAGAAGGAGAAAAGGAAAGAAACGAAAAAGAAGACGAGAGGGAACGAACATCACCAATTTGCAAGACAAAACCTCAAAATTGACCCCCTTCAACTGTTCATAGTTTATCAGTGCGCCCCCCATCCCCCACGGTTCCCGCTTGAAACGTGTTCTTTGGCTCCCCTCGGAAAAAAATCCCGCAACGACAATGGTTACATTCCTATACTGAGCAGCCTTCATCAACATCAGACCGTCTGTTTTGCCGACACGCTTTTGTTAGTATTTTGGCAAGATGTCATTTTTGATGAGATATTTCGTTAAGCCCATTCGCAATCGTAATCATTGTTGATGTTATCATCATTGTCAAATTTAAATCACACCACTGAAAGAAACAGACCTTGCAGATATCTCGCCAACCCGTCCGTAAAATGGTGGCAACAACAGAACGTGTCTTAGCACTGTCTGCCTTTGGTTTTATGGATGATAAAAGAGATTTGGTGTACTTTCCATCGAAGTCCGAAAAAAGATTAACGAGACTGCCAAACCCAGTGGCAATAAAAGAAGCAGAAATGGATGAAACCTCACCCAATGCCTTGATACATAAGCTGCAGCTTCATTCACCTATATCTTTCAGGGCTCTTTTCCTGCGCAAAGGTTTTTTGTGGTAAAACTAAAAGATGATGTGGATAATGAGTCAAACTGAACACAGACACGAGCTCCTCCACATTTTAATGAGCATCAGTTGGCACCTGCTTCTATAAAACGAGAGGTCAAAAAGGGGTGGGACGTTAAATCTCTTGAAGGTGCGGGTACATCGATCATAAGTAACAAAAAAAGTGACGTATAATATTGGATGACGCATACACATGGTCGCCTATGATTGCCCGTTGGGATTACACGTGACATAGATTCTGTCTTCTGTCCAACCTGGCTCTGTTTCTTATTGATAGACACATCTCACGAATACAGCAAACATTGCTGAGCTCACCATGGATAATTCCACAGAGAGCCCGCTGTTTGAATTCGATAATTTGGCCCAAAGAGCCATTCTTGCTACGCTTATTTTGATCATATCACTGATTGGAATCGCCGGCAACTCGCTGGTTATCCTGGCTGTGCTGTTGTCCACGAAGCTCCGCACAGCTACTAACGTCTTCGTGGTAAACCTGAGCGTAGCAGACTTAATGACCTGCCTGGTCATCCCTTGGGACGCCGTGGCTTTACTGAGCCAACAGGAGGGCATGCCGATTGGCGAGTGGGTCTGCAGCGTGGTGGCCACGGTCATCTTCACCACCGTCGGCTGCAGCATTTTGACGCTAGCCTCGATCAGCCTGAACCGCTTGCTGTTGATCACTCGATCAACGAGCACTTACCGGAAGATCTACACCCCACAGAAGATCGCCATTTGGCTGGTGGTTATTTGGCTGGTGCCTTTCCTCACCACAAACATTCCACCGCTCGAAAATGTGGGCGCTCTTGGTTTCAACAAGCAGTTCCATTTGTGCGGGTCTATCAACGCCCATCCTCTCCACAACACGTACAACCTGATCATTTCAGCCATCTTGTACCCAATCCCATTTGCCGTCATTATTGTCAGCTACTCGCTGATCTGGATTCACCTGCACCGTCAGGCCAAGAAGCTGGCGATTATATCTCCTCCCGTCACTTCCCCGCCCAGCAGCGTTTCGACGCTCCATAGTCACCAATATGCAATCCCACCAACCAGCTCTCGGTAGGAGTAGCTGCGACCAACACCAGTCCGTCTCCAGGAGCAAACCGCCAGACCGAAGTCACAAAGAACATGCTGTATGCCGTTTGCGGCTTTTTCGTCTGCCTCGTCCCATATACGGTCAACCTGTTTTTCGATAATAGCCCACTAATACCTTACACAACTGTCATCGTTCTACTCAGTAACTGCATCAACCCACTGATATATGCAACCAAGCACCGGGACTTTAAGAAAGTCTTCGGCTGCATCATACGTTGCCGATGGGTCCTCATTCCCAATCCTTCGGATTTTCTGAAGGCTCTGACAAGGTGACTTGAGGCATGTCCCCACAGAATGAAAAAGAAATAACAAAAATGTTCGGAGGATCAAGTTGAAGGTACAATGTTATATCTTTAAAATTCTAGACTTTATTTAAACCATTCAATATTATAATGAAATAAAACTTGACCAATAATTCAAAAACCCTGAACCGTCCGATAATACAGAAACACAGTCAGTAACGACAATTAGCCATCTGTTTCCCCATATTTTGGGACTTTTTTGTGATTCGGTTTTTGTTCGAGTTTCCTGACCGATCCTGATACTGAAATTGAAAAGTATTATCAACTCTGAAAACTCGAAAATAAGCAATGAAACTCTGAAAATAAGCTTAGCCGTATCAAATTGAGGATTGCATGAGCCAGAACGAGATTCTTGACAAGTGTGGACAAAGGTTTTCGTCACTCACGTTACGTCAGTTTTAAAGGATGGAATGCACACTTTCAAGTTGAACGACAAGGATGCAGGTTTTTATGGTTTACGCGTTCAGGTTTTACACCGTAGTAGGTTTTATAGTTAAAAACATGTCTTTTGGGATTGACCATAATAAAGTGGTAATTTGATATCTGGTGGGTTTTCGTGACGTCACACTTATGCACTTCATAATTGATGAAGTCGAGATTTTAATTTAAAGGTGTACGTGCAAAACTCTCTCCCAGAAAAGCCCAGCGTGTCAGCTTTTTTGGCCACTTACAGATTTTATTACAGTTCAAATTGTTTGGCCAGCTTTGTCATTACGTGTGTACTATCAGCCCTTAGGCCTAAGATAACTGTTTCGAGACTTGTGCATGTAGTTCCAATCTCGGCTTCTTGACTGGATGGGTTCTTACAGTACGCGATGACTCAGCAAACATCATAACAGGGCGCCAAAGATTTCTCCTACTCCACCCATAATCACTGCTTTGCGCTGCTATATTGCAGCGCTCTCGAATGTCGGACAATAGAGGGCAGCTTAACTACTGAGCAATAATAAACTATTTGCCTATTTAGTTTCTTTCAGTAATTTGTTATATTCTTCAATGTACGCCAATTGAATGCGCTGTTTGGTAAAGCTCTGTTATTGCTGTTGCAACTTCGAATGAAAGCGTTTTCTTTTTCCAGGTTCCAGATGAAAAAAAAACAAAATGACATTGCTAATATATAGCCTGATTTGTAGTGGCCAAGGGCCTATGTGTAGGTTACGGATTTACACTAAGCCTTGGGGTAGGCTTCACTTCAGCCAAGTCTAATTAAAGTGGGAGAAAAGTTGAAGAATCAGCAAGTACTTCAATGAAATTAAAAATTTCGTTGACTTCCCTCCCCCGAGGATTTCGTAGGCCACGGATCCATACTGTTCCTATCGGATAACTCGGTGTTCCCGATTCCAGGTTAAGATTCCGGCCAAAGAAACGTGGGTTTAGTCACTGTTTACTCTTCAGCCAACAAACTGTTCCATGATTTCAACACGACTGTGCTGCAGGTCGTCTTTAGTTAAGTTCTGCGTCCCTAAACCATATTTCAGGCAATGATTTTTCCTGCAGCATTTCCCACCACAAAGTTAGGGATGCACTACTAAAATTGGATTAATTGTGTGGTAACTTTGATTCAAGGTGATGTGCTTGTAAACTTAAGTTTTTTTTCATTATTTTTTTTTTATTTTACAGGCTGACAGTTTCTTTTTTTATTTCGGTTTGACGTTAAATATTATGAAAATGAACGAGGAATGTCAAGGAAGAACATCAGTACAAAACTGTCATCCAAAAGATGTTTTAACAAGACCCCTGTTCGCAAGAGAATAATTTTCTGAAAAAGGAAAAAACAGTCTGCAGAGTATAAAAATTGCAAAATAGTGGATATAGAACACTATCAATTGATACATGAAAATATAAAAATTCTACACACATAAAAACACCTAAAATGCATACAAAAAGGTATTTAAAAAGACATTAAGGCAAGCAGGCAAGCAAATGTTAATCTTGCGAAGCTATCAGATGGCAGCATTTATCTTATAAAGAGTGCAGTCCGACAGTGTTGTTACACTAATAAAATTACTGTTACAACATTGTCGGACTGTACTCTTTATAAGATAAATGACCAGTAGTACCCTGCAGTACAGAGCTAAATGTGCTGGAATGAGTGAATAGGGAAATACTGTAATGTTTCTAACACAATACTCGACTGAGGAGTAGTTCTTCCCTTATTCAGTGTGGATAGCGAGAATCAATTACGAAGCAGTGACGAAGCTGATATCCTCGCCCAGTGAAGTTGTTTTCTGCACGAACTGCCTATGAAGAGCACTAGTGGTGACGGAGTACTGCCATCAAGAGGAAATACGGATTTCACAGCTGTCTTGGATTTGTTCCCTTTGATTTGTTAATCGAGTCTTTATGCTACCGAGGATCTGCTTGTAACAAGGTCCTTATTACTTAGGCGGGTCCCAGCAACCTTGTTATAAATGGCGAGGGTTGAGTGTTGGCTACTACATGTGGGCTATGATGCAATGATTGAACACTCATCAAGTTGTAAAAGTTCAGTGATCAAACGGCTGTGCTTCAAGAGCTTTCCATGGCATGGGCTGTAATTAGCTGTCTGGACTGATACAAGTCACACTCCTTTCACACAAGCCAAACGTTCTAACAACTTGACTCCACGAATTAGGAGTCGAGTGTACATGTGTACAGGTACTGAACTGGAGAAAGTTACAGCATTTTTCAGTGCGCTGGGGTAGTATTGNAAATCACCGATTGTACACTCATCCGTGTAACTGACAGTGTACAGTGAAAATGTACATGTACATGTGGAGTACGTTACGTTTATGCGTCCACATCGATACCAGTGCACCGTGAAGAACGTAAACAGGGTCAAACTTCCTTTGTTAGAAAGACTCTTGGTAAGAGTTCAATAGGTGTTTTCACTCTGTGCTGAATGCCTCGTTTAAGAACGCCGAAATTATGGTACATGACAAGGCCTACGCTTTCTAGTTGACAGTTCTGTTCTAGAAACTTTCGCAACGCCATGGACGGGTCCCAGGACAACTCTACCGAGGATCGAGAGTTTGAATTTACGGACTACACCCAAAGGGTAATTGTGGCCACGCTCCTCATGATAATCTCTGTGGTGGGAATCACCGGTAACTCCATGATTCACCTGGCGGTTCTCCTGTCAAAGAAGCTGCGCACGGTGACCAACGCCTTCGTGGTGAACCTGAGCATCGCGGACTGGCTGACATGCTTTGTCATCCCGTGGAACTCCGTGGCTCTTCTGAGCACAGACGGCCTACCGGTCAGTGAGTGGTTCTGTAAGGTAGTCGCTATCGTCCAGTTCACGACCGTGGGCTGCAGCATCATCACCCTGGGCTTCATTGCCGTGAATCGCCTCATGTTGATCACACGACCGACAACCACCTACCACGTGTTCTTCACGTCCCAGAGGGTCACCCTATGGCTCATACTGAGCTGGTTGGTCCCGTTGCTGACCAGCCTCATACCGCCATTGGCAGGTGTTGGTGCTGTCGGCTACAACCCACAATATCATTTTTGTGGATCTAAACCATCCAACCCTTATTACAATACGTACAACCTCATCATTGCAGCTGTCTTGTACCCGATCCCCCTCGTCAAAATCGTCGTCAGTTACTCCCTCATTTGGATTCACCTGCGCCGCCACGCCAAGAAGATGGCAGGTGCCCCGAAGCAGCAAGCCAGAAGAAGCGTGCCGATCGACATCCCCATGGTTCCCCCACATTCGGAGGACACTAACACCGCTGAGCATCCTAGTCGGTCTGACGTGAACACCAGCCCGTCTCGGAAGCGAAAGCGTCAAACGGACGTCACCAAGAACATGGTCTACGTCGTCTGCGGCTTCGGGCTGTGTGCGACCCCCTACGCCATCAATCTGTTCTTCTTTGACAGAGGCCCAACTATACCTTATACAACTGTCATCCTACTTCTTAGCAACTGCATCAACCCCTTAATCTATGCGACCAAGCATCGTGATTTCAAGTTGATCTTTGGTTTTATCATCCGTCGCCAGTGGGACAAAATTCCAAATCCTTCAGACTTTCTCAAAAAAGCCAGACAGGCCAAATATTGTTGCGCGAGAGAGTTATAGTCCGTTATATCAATAAAGACTCATGCATTTACTTGGATGATATTTGACTGCTTTCCTTATGCTGTAGTAAGCACAGCGTGTGCATGTGATACTAAAGATCATCACTTACTGCCTTCAAATCTCTGTCACGTGCAAATCGCTTATTCCTAATTTAAGAATCACTCAGGGTGTGAAACGAATGCTACCTGAAAATGTTAGAGAGTGTGTTCGTATGAGAGTATCATTCTGTTATAATATGCATTAGACGGTCGGGGTTATAATGAGTGTGTTTGACGTTTTTTCAATCAAATCGCATACAGAAATAATCACCTGTGGGCGTTGTAACTGCTTCACAATGTACATAAATATTACGCTTTCTGTCAAGTTCGAAGTCAGAAATTCTACTATTCCCTTGAGCTAAAAGCACTTAATGAATGTGTACTATATTATGTTATGAAGCCTCTCTACCGAAAATGACACTAATTTTCAAAGAGGTCTCAGTAACACTGTGAGCCGTCCAACAGCATTACTGTCTGGGCCGCAAGGAAGGAATTGGTTTTAAAGGAAACTGGAAACGCCCTTGTAATATGTGCTTATCTGGGTTGGACTTCCAATGACACGTTCGTCAACCGATGTGCGGTTAAGGTCTTTACAGTTTTATTGCTTTTAAGAAACTGGAACATTGGACTTAAATTTCCCATACATTTTAGGTGGATTGCGCCTGTTTAATGGTGTGTCTTCGTGTCTACCCCTTTCCAATGTGAACTTGGACACTCCCTTGCTGGCACGTTAACCACAAAAAATAATTTGTTGCATTTCACACTTTTGCTCTTTCTCTTTTTTCTCTCTTTAACCGGTCAACGAAAATCGGAACCCAATCAAAGTTAGAACAAAATGGGTTGGATTTCGTTTCTTATTTTTCGCAATAAAAGGAGTGACTATCCTTGCCACAGTGCAAATTCTAGAGCGTTTGCCTATAAACAAACAGGAGTCTGAGTTGAATGTTTTTACCAATGATCTTTCGTTTGACTCTACTGATTTATGAATAAAACGTGTCTTTAAATTTAAAGTGGTACTAACACCCGTAGAAGTTTAAAACGGTTACACCCGAAAGATTGCTGTAGTTAAAGGCTATTTATTATTCTCAAATCGTGTCCACTATACCACGATGAGAATAGCATTATGCCGTTTTGAAGCTCTCCGGGTTAGTCACTACTTCAGTATGGATTATTCATTGTTATAACGCTTGTCCTTTGTAATCCAGGGTAAATGGAATCTGATCCAAGGAAATGAGAACGTCTATTAAGCATATTTTCCCCAGTCAGCATTTCCACATTCAAAAACACTATGAGGTTATCTCTATGGGCCACCCTGGACAAATTGCCAGCCTAAAGGATGAGGACACAGATGGGAATGGTAGTTTGTGGCATTTGATTTTGTTTCCTTGTAGCATTTATACCTGCATGTTTACTTTGCCTGTGACTTCAGCTGTGCCGAGTTTAGTTTGGTTTTCCTGTCAGGTTGACCCACACAGGTTCCTTGACCTAGCCTCGGCACCAACTGAGGAAGTGTCTGCCGGAAATACGTGTGGCAGACGGAAGGATTGTTACTGTGGTTGCGGGGCGTGACATTTACAGGGTTTGTTGGGATGTAAAAGTGGGAAATTTGTATGTTAAATGGCACACTCTTGGCGCGTCGAAAAGGAGGAGTTTCATGTTTGCTGTAGCAGTAATGTGATTTCGCTTTTGCTTTGTAAAATGCCCGAGGAACATTTATTTCAATCTCGAAGCTGAAGACCCTGTTTCTGTTTAGCTTAATATGTATCGTTTAAAGTAAAGTTCTTTTCTTCAATATAAATCGAATGTTTCATGTTTGAGGGTATCTTACCATTCATGCGGTTCATGTTTTACCTGTCAGACTTGCTTTTTTTTTCTGAGACCAGAATAAATATTCAAATTTCTATGTGCAGTGTGATTTTACTTCCCCTATTTATGTTGATCATTTCGTGGTGACTACCCCCACCCCCACAACGGCAAGCGGGACTCAGTAAAAAATACACTTTTACAACAGAATTCCCCTGACACCTACTGTTTTTTAGTGGCTTTATGATTCATAGAGTTTTAGTTGATGTGAGATATGCCGACGTTAAAAGTAAAGGCTTGCATTTTGCTCTCAGACAATCACTGAGCATCATTGTCATGAATATACGTCGCTTTAGGGACAAAACTCGTAATTAAAAAGGATGATGCACGATCCCCAAATTTATTTTAGCGCCTCAGTGTCACCATTGATGGGTCAGCAGTGAGTGCCCTATTGAATTCTCCTTGCTCAGAATGCATTGGCATGCCTACGCTGGTGCTTCATTTGCATCACAAAACAAGTAAACTGAAGCAAGGCCAGTGATCTCCATGCACGATCGCCTTTGTGAAGTGGAAGGACATAAAAAGCCGAAGGACCCACACGTTTTTGAATAGTTGGTTTGGAGTTCAACTGCTATACCGAACTCTGAAGTATTCTCCTCGTTTGCATTCCGCCAACGCGCCGCTACAACATGATCGAGGTGTGACGAAATCGGGATAGCCCAAGTATAGTGGGTGGTTATTCGGTAGCAGAAGAAATGGAAGCCTATTCACGTTGATAACTGGAAGCCTATTCACGTTGATAACTGAAAACCAAGTGGAAACAGTTGAAGAACCTTTCGTTTTACAGCTTTTTCTCTTTTGACGAAGCAAAGTTTATCCACTTCTACTCTCCTTTACTCTGTTGAGAACACACGAAGGCTCGGACCGGTTTTGCTCATCATCTAATTCAACGTGCAACAAAGCGTTTACTGAAACCAACATGGATAACTCTACCAACAGCACGTCGTTCGAATTCAGTGACTACACCCAGAGAGTCATAGTCGCCACGTTGTTTATTTTCATTTCAATACTGGGTTTCTTGGGCAATTTCATTGTGATTGTAGCTGTCCTTCTGTCGAAATCGCTCCGGACGACTACTATTGCTTTCTTCGTCAACATGAGTGCTGCTCACTTGATGACCACTCTTGTGTTGCCGTGGGATGTTGTTGCTCTACTGAGTAAGGGTGACTTCCCCCGTGGTGATCACGAGTGGATCTGCAGTGTGACTACCGTTGTCATCTCCATTACCGTCGGCTGCGGTATCTACACGCTGGCTTTTATCGGCCTCAACCACTTGCTGCTGATTACACGACCTACAACCACCTACAATAGACTCTACACTCCCAAGAAGATGGCTGTGTGGCTTACAGTCACCTGGTTGATCCCGTTTCTCATCATCCTCGTGCCGCCACTGAGTGGTGTGGGCGAACTTGGCTTCAGCGAGAAATTCTACCTTTGCGGCACGAAGTCCACTGATCAGATCGGCTTCAGAATCTACAATTCTATTCGAGTTTTTGGCTTGTACCCCATCCCCCTCGTGTGCATTTTAGTCTGCTACACACTCATCTGGATGTATTTGCGTCGCCATGCTCCGAGACAGAACTCCTCTCCAATTGGACAAGATGAGACACCCACATCCAACAGTATTCAAATGGAGGAGAAAATAAATGTAAGCGACGTCCGGTCGCAGTCGTCATCAACTACTTCTGATATTGTCAGCCCGACCCAAATGATCACCAAAACCATGCCTTTCGTTGTCCTCGGCTTTATAGTACTTCTTCTCCCCTATGCTATAAGTCTGTTTATCAGCAGCTTTGAGCCGGCTGTGCCATACACAACTGTCATCCTGTTCTCCAGCATTTGTGTCAACCCCATCATTTATGGCATTAAGCATCGTGACTTTAATGTCGTCTTCGGTTCTATCTTACGTCGCCGGTGGAACAACATTCCCGAACCGTCCAGTTTCTTGAAGAACGCTAGACGAATCCGTTGTTGTGGTGGGCAAGTAGCCAGTGTCCATGTTTCCAATGACTCTGTGTAATTTGTTTTTGCAACCATTTTCAAATTAGCCTCTGATCACGTGTAAACGGCGAGTGCTTCAGCAGTACCAAGTTTCTGAACATTCAATTTTAAAATCCATCACGTGTACATGTTGATGCGATGTATGATCTTTTCCTTTTCGCAAATATATATATATAATGGTTCCCAATACATGTATTTTGATAGACAAGAAAAAGTGCCAACACGATTATTACCATAAGGTACCATATAAGTCTAAACGAGATTGCTTGGCTCTCAGCGTTATCTTTACTGATAAAAAGGAGCTAGGTTTGAAAGATTTGAACCTCGTCCAGTCTGTTTCAAGATTCCTTTCTTTTCAACATCTAGGTATTGAATTCTTGACATCCGTAATTATGATGCACAAGCACTTTAGCACTGCACGTCAAAATTCACGCCTACATCCAAACAAAAGCCACTCTGGCTTTGACGATAAGGTTCATATCATAATGCATGTACATGTATATTGTGAAAATGCCGCCCTTTCCATTTATCATACACTACCTATTGCTTTCAGGCTTCTCAACTCCGCGTTGAAGGCTTGCTAGGTATTGAAAGTCGAAAGTTAAGGGGACATGCACAATGAGAACTTTTTATTTCGTTCCCTCGAATTACTATTTCGCTCTCTCAAAATATGATTTCGTTCTCTTAAGGTATTATTTCGTTCTTTCGAATTAAGATATTAGGTTCCCTCGAAATACTATAGTACGTTCCGTCGAATTAATATTTCATTCCTCTCCCGATTGAAGTTTTTACTACTTACCATGGAGTTACTTCAATCGAGAGAACGAAATCAATATATCGAGGGAACGAAATCAACATTTCGAGGGACCGAAATGGCATATTTCGAGGAAATGACATTATTTCGAAGGGGGACGAAATAATACTTCGAGGGAACGAAATAATATTTCGAGAGACCGAAATAATATTTTGAGGGAACGAAATAATACTTCAAGGAAACGAAGTATTTCGAGTGAACGAAATAGCAAATAATTCTCACTGTGCCTGTCTCCTTAGGGGCTTCGTAGCGGTAGAACAGATTGGAACGTCTATTATAGGTTTTAAGTCATGCTTTATATTGTTATTCGGTAGATTCGGTATCCAATTAGAGAACTCCCAAAGATGGGAATCTGAGCAATGGTGCCCTAATGCGTTTTCTTCTCTTGAATGACTGAGTGATGTGTATGAGTTAATTTTGACTGTTATCCTTTTGTGTTGTTCTTTGTTTACGCTAGTTTAAATCGTTTCGCTCATTTTTGAGATGCATAGAGCCACATGCAAAGTGCTTTCACGACTAGCAGTTAGTTATTCAAAATCCCCAAAGTGGTTTTGCGGGTCTTGGCAAAATTATAAGCAACGAAGAGCCAATATACTCTATGGAACGGTTTGCACTCTGTACTCGGGTGTTTTAGGTTATAGGCCTATACCACCAGGTTTTTTTGTTATAGGGTCAGGCCTTCGTGACGTACGTACAAGTTGACATCAGTTTTGTACAAATTGAACCTATCTTCTTTTTTTCAAAAATGTCAAATTTGTGACGCAGCTTCTCATTTGTGGCTTGTTTTTGTCTTTCTCGTCCATGTTGTTCTGCTTCTTGTTTTGATTTCCCCCTTTTTTTAACTTCTCTCATGGAGGAAAATTATTCTGGCTTTGAAACTTCTTTGAGTGTTAGTAAGTAGGAACAAGCAGGCAAATGACCCTTTTCCCTAAAAAATTTCTTTGGTGAGTATAATTTCTGAATTCACAACTTAAAACAGTTACCCTAAATTCAGACAGTTCAAAATCCTACTATTTCAATAGGATTTTGCATACACGAAAGTGGGTCGGGCCAAATTTAACACTGTCTGGTAACTCATGTTTTACCTGCCATCCCCAACTGCTATGAAGGGATCACATGTTAACCATTTCCAAATTTATCAATGGTATTAATTATGGCTCTTCATACACATGTATGTCACCCAGGTTTAGGCGCAAATTGGACCTCCGTCCATGGAAACTAATCAAACCGTCTTTGAATTCCAATCTGTATTACTACACACATGTAGAGGCCACAATTTCAAAATATATAGGTTGCACTTTACAACAGCAATTGAACCATCATTTAAAAGCAGTATCAAGTCAACAAAGATCATGGTAAAATAATATACAAGCCGACATCAATGGAGTTCTCGTACAAAAATCTGATTTTCTTAGTTGTCATTTTTGCATATTTTATTCTTCAAAATACCTCATATATACTTCCTCTGTACCGAACCATGCAATCTTCATTGTATGACATCAGATGCAGTAACGAATCACAGTTCAAAGTGGCAAAATAATCAGGTCTAGGAAATATTCATTGCTGCTACCCTTTAATCGAACATCAAAATTACACCTGTTATCTTACAAAGCAAGATCGCTCATCGAAAGAAGAAAAACTATGGAAACTTTTCTCTTAAGAAATATTCTGATTGGTCGAGAGGAACGGGGGACATTTTAAATCCAATCACTGAGTTCCTTTTATCTGCGAGAGTTGCAAGTGTAGTCTGGTTACACTGGTTTGGGGCAGGCTCTAAATACGCTTGTTCAATGGCTTGTACATGTACATGTTCCCATATGTAGTGCAACACCAGATTAGTCATTCCATGCAGACAGGAAGTCAGACTACATAACGAGTAATAACGGATTTCTCTGTGTGAAGATTATTTCGGTTTCCTCCTTTGATTACTCAAGCTGCCATGTGCTAAATCCTTGTGAATTTCCAAGTAAATTGGTAGTTCGCGTTTTTGTACGGTGAACGACGTACCAGACACCTGAGTGGGTGTGTGTTGAGGCATTGTCAGCTAGCTCAGCTAAGTCACGATTCAACTACAGTACTGATACAGTGCTTATGGTTTAATTACATATGTACTGACTGGCATTGCTTGGGTTTTTATCAACTCTTGGCCCACATTACTTCGGTATTATGTTCCGAATCAAAGCATTTCGTAGAGGTCCTTGTAATATTTTGTCAGTTTACTCAAACGTTTTTATGTCACAGAGTTTCAGTGATAATACATGTTTACAAATTACATTACACCAGAGCCGTGCCTGCAATACAGGAATCTACATGTTTTGTTTGTTTTTATTCGCTGTTCGCTCCTCCACTTGTCAGCACCCCCAATGCAAGTACATGTCTCAAATGGTTGGGTCCATTCCTTACTTCATGGTCCCATGAACCGTTGCTGCCATGGTGTACTACCTGTCCTTTTCAATGGTTATGCACGGCAGCCATCTTCTCAATCAATGCGTTTGCTGCATAGGGATACACATGAATAGTCCTTTGGTGCATATCTCCATAACAAAAGCACTGACCGGAAGAATAGCTGCTGTGCATAACCTTGTACGAGGCGGTCACTGCGGCTTTGTGTCCAGGGTAGAGAATTGGGTCACGCTTACGTAAACTACGGCAAGCTATGTTCCTAGCTCTGGGGTAGCTCTTTTGCCGTCACAGTCGTATTTTTCCTATGAGTGGCTGCTAAAATTTAGGTACATGTACAGAAGTAAAAGAATAATCCACGAAGTGTTAAAAATCCCATGCCACTTTCAAAATATCAGATAATGATAGACGTTCTTCTGAACACTAAATGATAACACAACCCTATTCAAATTTGAACGAACTTGAGGTAACATGGAAGGTCAGTCAAAAGGTGGTACTTATATTTAAATGCCGCCCATACAAGTTGCAGGCCAAATGAGACTGGTCTACACTGACCTTTTTCACACGTCACTGAATTGTGCTAAATGTAAACAATAACAGTACGTGTAGACCGCCGTGCCACGGCGATCACATGCATTCCTACGGGAAGTTTCAACCACGTACAAGCACACATGCGAACGCTGCATGCTTGAATAGTTTTTCTTGAATAAGTACATGTAGATTACCATCACAACACTATGCACCGTCACATCACGTCGCGGGCACGGTTGCGACATTACAGGAAGAAAGGTCTAAACGGCAAACCATAGAAAACTTAAGGGCAAGCTGTACAAGCAGCCACATTTTTCGTGTGCATTCGGTGGAAACATAAAGAAAAAGGTGCTATCGCTTAAACTTCTCGTCAGTCACGCGACGTATGTAATCCGTAATATGTGCAAAGTGTGGTAATCAAGCACTTTTATTAAATGCAGTGATGCAACACGCGCAACTACCATTTTTTCGAAGGTACAAATGTAGACATCGGTCTAATGTACAGTACGTAAAACAGTCACGCCCTCAAGACATCAGCAGAGGAAGTCAGTTGTGCGAGGGCGCAACACAAAGTAGCGAAAATCAATATCGGCCATTGACGTCTTGGACGAAGACTAAGACCAAAGAAACGTCACGACCAAGGCCTTGTACTGCACGGCGCCTTTTGTACGGGCCATTGCATCGTGTACATGTGCGTGTGTTGAGTGAGGTAAAGCCGGTATAGGGGTAGGATTTGAAATACATGTAGAAAGTGTTATCTCGCTGCCGCTGATTAGACCGGCATCATGGATACTTCAACAGACACCCACCAATATGAATTCAGCGACTATACCCAGAGAGTCATGGTAGCCACCCTGTTAATGATCGTAACAGTGGTGGGAGTTGTGGGCAATTCCATGGTGATCCTAGCCGCGCTTCTATCGAAATCGCTGCAGACAAAGACCATCACCTTCTTCGTCAATATGAGCGCTGCTCACTTAACGACCGCTCTTGTGTTGCCATGGGATGTCGTTGCTCTGCTGAGTAACGGTGACTTCCCCCGTGGTGATCACGAGTGGATCTGCAGTGTGACTACCGTTGTCATCTCCATTACCGTCGGCTGCGGTATCTACACGCTGGCTTTCATCGGTCTCAACCACTTCCTACTGATCACCCAACCGACTACCTACCAAAAAGTCTTCACCCCGAGGAAAATGGCCGTGTGGCTTATTGTCACCTGGCTGATCCCATTTCTTGTCATCCTTGTGCCACCACTGATCAATGTTGGTGAAGTTGGGTTCAACCAGAAATTCCATCTCTGTGGCACGAAATCTTCGAATGCATGGAGCTTTAAAGTCTACAATTCCATTCGAGTTCTTGGCTTGTACCCCATTCCTCTCGTTTGCATCATCACGTGCTACACACTCATTTATGTCCACCAGCAGCGCAAAGGCCAAACACTAGGCTCTTCTAGCTATCAGGATCCATGTGATGACAGGTCCCTAGACAGTGATATCACTCAGGGTCAGGGGGAAAAATCGGCTGCAAGTATCGATCAGTCTGGATCGTCGTCAGTATCCTCACACGTCGTCGGCCAGACTCAAATGCTGACGGAGACGATGCCATTCATCATCTTTGGGTTCGTTGCTCTCCTGACCCCGTACGCCGTGTGCCTCTTCGTCCGCAGGCTCGAGCCATTCGTACCCTACGCAAGTGGTATCCTGTTTTCAAGCACTTGCATCAACCCCATCATATACGGCTCCCGACATCGTGACTTCAAGATCGTCTTCAGTTCCATCTTGCGCTGCCGTTGGAATGACATTCCCCAGTCTTCAACATTCCTGAAAATGGTGGGATGGTCCAAGAGTCGTGAGAAGGAAACTGTAGGTTCCCATGGCCATGCCGATTGAGAAGTCAAACTTTTCCCCATTGTAGTTTTGGGCAGAAACGAAACAGGGCAGCACATTGTGACACTTGCCTCCTTATTTTTACAAGATTTATGAAGTTGCGCAAGTTTTTTGCTTAGATCTCCTGATAGAAACATTTTTTCACGTTGTCAGAGCTATACGTCGACGTCCATGTTTTGTGGCATTGCTCCAGAAGAAAAATGGTCGCCAGCTGTATGTTCATAAGTCTGTTATTCTTCAAAGTATGTTTTGCTTTATCGCAGTAGAAAGCTGAAGCGAGAGATTCTACCAACGTAATCGTAATTGCGGTGTTCATTCTCGTTCTATATCTGTCTGAGCATAGCACTGAGTATAATAACCGAAAAAGAAACATTTACAAAACAAAACAAAAAATGATCACAACCATTCATATACTTTTCCACTTCTTTTCAAAAGCAAGAATACGATAAAATGTAGATAATTACAAATGTTAGTTCGGATGAACACAAACAGAGAGCAAAGGTATACTGAGAAGTAAAAGTATCTACAATTAGCGATTGCTTAAATACGTATGAATAAAAATGTCTTGTTAGCACAGATGATATTAAAATGCCTAAATCCTTGTGGTCGACTGCACAGCTGAACGGTTTGTGTCTGTGGCTATAACCAAGTCACTCGGTGCACGACGTCACTGCGCAAACGCACGCTGCATCGAAAACCCTTTTACAGAACACTGACAACGATACGGACAGATACATTGTACATGTATACTGCAAGCAACATGTAGCAGCACCTTTACAGGACCAGGAAATAAAAATATTTTCATAAATGTTGATAAAAACCCTCAAAATTACATCTTTGGGTTTCAGTTAACCTGATTTTAAATTTTTGTTTTGCAATTTTAACCCGTATTTTGATGTTTTTTTGGCTTTTATGCTAATGCATATTTGCAACTTCATGAGCAGAACTATGATGCCATCCAAGGCACTGAATCTCAATGTTGTACTGATTTGTGCTCAGAAAATGCCATGGCAGATTTTATTTTCTTTGGCAGTCTATTGCTCTGTAAGTATATGGCAGTAATCCAGCAAAAATACTTCTCACAGAAATGTTCCCAGATAACAAATTTAGGGTTCACAATTTGAACATGAAAACATGCAACCAGAACCATCGCTTCCTGGATTTACATCAAAGCAAAAGCGCCCTCACTTGTCCAGAAATGCTTGGTCAATTTTTGATGTTTGAAGAAGGGCACGGTTCAGTTCACGTAATCTCAAGAAAGATGTCAAGCAGTCATGGCAGTCTTCATACATGGAAGAAGGGTATAGAGATAAACAAAAAGGGATTCTACGAAAAATTCATTTCCTGGATCCTTTAACTTTTCTTTTACAGCGAAAGACTGGTGGTCTGAGGGTTTATAATAATCTGTGCCTGTGTGCTGCCGCCCACACGGCGCCGTGTGTGCACAAAATGGGAAAACGGCGACAAGGTTTTGAACGGTCCATGGTAAAGGTAAAGGTGGGCTAGGCCTAATTGTCCAAATACAAAAGGATTTGCACGGAATCATGCAAATGCATTCTGTTTTGAAATTTTCCATGATTGACTTTGTTTACAGTTTAATGAGTTGAAGCATGGTACCTCCATCATTATGTCCACAGTTGAAGTTTGTATAGTGTGGCATGTTACAGCAAACTGCCAGAAGTCAGTCTGTCGTGTCTGTGCTGGGTTCGATGTCCGTCCGTCCACGAGTGGGGCGGACGTCGGACCTTTCAGTTCTCGGGGTAGAGAAGTGACACAATTTCCACTTTTTTCAATCAAATTTTTCCTTGAGCAGGTTGAGAATGAGAGCAACCATTAATGCTTGAGGTACCCAGGCTAAAGGAGGTTTTACACCCAAATTCACAGAGGGTTTCCTCCTCATTCTTCCGTTTTCTTCCAAATGATTGCACCGTACTGTACATTTTGTGTGCATCACACAGTACCCATGCAGGGACAGCCAAGGGCCAGTATAGCCGAGCTAGTTCCACATGTCATTTCAACTAATTATGGAGGTGGCAGTGTTTAACCTGTCACAGGTAGCAGAGCACTCAGCCTGATGGTATCACTCCAGTCACACAGCTCAGGGGCCACTCATGCGATAATAACAGATTTCACCCCCTCCTGGGCATATATGGATAAAAAACTGACCTTTGCTAAATTGGTCATTGGCCCACGCATGTGCACTGAGCATGTGATGCACACAGATTTTTCAGTAAAATGTGACTGTTGGGAAGAAAACGGAAGATACGTTAGTAAACCCTCCAATTTTTCAAATTAAGTCTTTAAGTCTAAAAACTTGTGATAATTACAGAGTTTTCAAGAGATATGCATGTAGGTACCTTAAGGTTGCTCTCATGTGGAAATTTGAATTTGTGTCACTGGTCATGATACATGTTCCTCAAAGGCTGGATTAAAAAAACAGATAGCATTGCAACCCGTATAAACAAACATGGCCACAAATCACACAGATTAGTGACTTCAGAACATCCTGTAGGCATAGCCCACAGTTCTTGGGGTAAACCTCCTAAACATGGTGAATATCTTTTCTCCATCAACCATGTTCTTATTCTCAGCCTGGGCCTGTCACCTAGCCCAGATTGGACGGCACTTGCGGTCTCTTCAGTTAGGGTTATGTACATGTATGAGACCTGGGTGGGACCATCAGAGGGCACAATTTTCCTAGCAACGGAGACTCCTTTGGTGGGAACTGCACCACAGGAGACTATGAAGTACACGCATCGCGGTTACGTTGCTACTAGCATAGAGTAAATGAACTCTCCCCACCAACATGCATGACATTGGCTCTTTTCGACCGATGAGGGGGTGCTTCTGCTCAAGGCAGATGAACTTACATGTACATTTCAGAAAGAATTCCATGATTTATGATGATGTACACTTATCTGAGCTTTTCTTCCCACCTCTAAAACTGAACATCTCTTCATTGTCTTCATCACTTATTATCATCCTGTAATTGGTGCTAAATTTTCTGTTGGATGATCAGATGAATAAAATCAATGTTGGTGTAATATGGATGTGGCTTGACACCCTTTGCACAAATGGATCATGGAGGAAGAAACCTCATGACACTGGTCTGAAAATGTCTTGTGTTTTCTAAGTGAATAGCAGCAACATTTTCACTGCTGACCTTTGATCTTTTAGGACACTTTTTTATTGCTTTGAGATGGCTGGTAGTACCTATACTAATAATGTTAGGTCACTGTAGAGAAATATGAGTGGCATCAGTAATTGATTTCTGTCCGTACATGTAGGCCTACATCTCGACTAACATCAAGGATATCAAGTAATTGTGCCATTGCATCTTGACTGTTAGTGTTCCCTCACATGGTGCACTTGAAATAAATTGCTAGAAACCCCACATAAACTTTTGAGAAGTTATGTAAACTTGATAATTTGTATTATTACCTCAATTTGCATACACTTAAACAAAAGTTTGTTCAGAAGTGTCCATTTTGCACTGAAGGAATCAAAAATTGGAAAATTGAGCCAAAATAAAAATTTCATCGGAAAGCTGTAGTGGGTGAGTAAAATCAGGAGTTTTGAATTAGATTAGTAGAAGTTCGATAAAATTTTCACTTACTTTGAAATTTGAAGTAAAATTGTTGCTCCGGCAAGGCACTGGAGGCCAAAAATCAAACAGTGTCAAAGTTAGGGGGCACACAGTTAGGAGGTTTCAACAATAAATGAAGGATGTTGCTGTGATAACAGTAAAAGCTGAAGGGATGCATTGTTTTTGTTTTATGCTTTTATTGTAGGAAGAAGTCATTAAGAGAAGATGATGGAGCAAGGAGTGGCCAATGAGTGGGCAGCATCAATGGAGAGCACAGAACCTGAGTAAGTTCCTTCCCAGCACCAGGTTATTCAATGACAAGCTGGATTGAGAAAGTGAACTTTATTCCTGCAAGTTTACCCATTTTCCCCTATACTGTTATATGTGTCTTAAATGCCAACCTTCCCAGATCCTTCAAAATCCACCAGATTTGGAAGATTGAGGAAGGTAGAGCCAAGTCTAGCCTCTTTATGTGTCTGTAGAATTTTAGAGAATGTATCATTCTGGGGAAGATTTTTTAGGATTCAGAAAGGTTTGCAGGAACCACCGTCTTTCTATGCTGTCCTTACGTCTTGCTGCTTAAATAATTATTACTTTGTCTTCACTTTGTCAGCTCAGACAAGTTTAGCCTCACAGAAAATGATGAAGATGACTCTGATGTTAGCTGTAGCACAGACAGTGAAGGTAAGTACTTGTACTTTGTCCAAAGATTGTGTGTAAAAAGGCCCTAGATAGCAGAAACAAAATGAACATTCCTATACAAACCTTTGTGCTGTGACTTCCTTTGTTCGACAAATTCAACAATTCAGTGCAGCTTTCCACTTAGGAAAGATACTGCTTACATTTTTTGTTCATTTGTTCAATTTTTTATGGTGACGTCACCACTCTGTTTTCACTGCTGAAGTTAGCATCTAGAGTCATCCATACAATCTGGGCTCTGTTTACAAGGCTGCAGGCCTGGCTGAAATACTCGGGCGTCAATNAGTGCCTAAAGATTACTTTGTTCGGCTATAAACGACCGTTAATTGAAATGATAAATTTTTGAATAATTTTGAAAATGGAAAAATGATAGTCATGCCCGGCTCAGCATTATCAACATTGAAAAATGCCCCGGCATGAAGTGGTTAATCATCTAGCCTCAGCCACACCTTTTGGGCATCGCCTTAAAACCTACAACTCTGCTGGGTACATTCCCAAACAAAAGTACATTTATTACAAGACATAACTGCTCCCTTTTTGTTACTATATTTTTACCAGGTGTTAAAGGCAATCTATAGCAGCATGGTTGGTCCCCTGCCCGTGGGCTGATCTTCTCGCATCACTGGCCCGATAGAATAAGGCGATAGCAGCGTGGTTGTTTCCCTGCCTGTGGGCTCATCTTCTGGCATCGCTGGCCTGATGGAGTAAGGTGATAGCAGCGTGGTTGGTCCCTTGCCTGTGGGCTGGTCTTCTGGCATCACTGCCCCGATAGAGTAAGGCGATAGCAGCGTGGTTGGTCCCCTGCCTGTGGGCTCATCTTCTGGCATCACTGCCTCAGTAGAGTAAGCCATCTCTTGTTTTACGACAAATTACAGTAGTCATGATATTGGTTATTGCAGCAATTTGTTTAAAGGTACAGTCCACCATTTGTCTTTTGTGGATTATTTTCCTTTGAAGCAACAAAATTACTCCAAATCTAAAGAAGGGAACACAAGAACGAACCTGATGAAGATGAAGTTTCAGCTTAACCACTTGACGCCAGATGATGTGTAAACACACACATTTTTCCTTATTTGTTCCATGGAGGACGTGTACCCTCTTTTAAGACTTCATTTTTCATTTCCGTGGTTGACGCATTAATGTGTCGTGATTGGCTGCGTCATAAATAAATTGCAATTTCAAAAAAATTGCAGGGAAAAAAACCGCCCCGGCATCTTTTTTTATTAAGAATATCCGACGTTAACTGGTTAATAGTGAATGCTCCATATTCTGAGAAATCTATTCTAGGACTCAGATCAAAAGTTGAGTCGTGTTATAAATTGTGCCTGAATTCAGCACCTGGGAAACATTCTCATATTCAGTCAATTGCAGCTACACCTTGTCACCCCCTGAACTGATGAATTATAGAAACTGCTAGTGTCTGTGCATCATGTCAACGCATTCACGCATTTCTAATAGTGACTTTCCAAAAATTTGAGAAGGCGTCTGCTTGAAATAATTGTTTCTTCATCACGTTCGTTTGCCAGAAAGAACAGTTTCTCACAGAATTTAGTCCTCTTTCTAAACCAAGTATGCTCTCCAACAACAATTGTGGATACCTTTTGGATAACTGCAAATGATAAACTGTACAGTACTTTTAACCCATTTGTCCTTGTACAGGGTTCCCCCATTCATTGCAAATCCTGGGAAAAAGTTGTCCCGGAAAGTCATGGAAAACTCACGGAAAATTGGTCTGAGGAAAAAGTCATGGAAATAAAGATCGTATAAGGGTAATTTTGATGGTAGTTATGGATAATGGATTTCACACNAGTGACACTTGTTGGGGTTCTTCGTATTTCTCCTACATTTCATCCTACATGTAACCTTGGAGGAAAGATTTGCTTAAACTTAGTGATGTAACAACAGAAATCTCTGTCCGCACGCAACCGTTGGCACAACCACCCCGAGCACTGCCATGAAATAGTGCTCAAGGTTAGCATATTTTTCTGCTAAAGTTAGTACAGTTTCTCTTCTGTGTTAAGAAACCCCATAAAATTGGGCCCTGACCCCACCCAGCCTGTAAAACCCTACACTCCTCAGCACTGCATGGTTTTATGGATTTAACAGTGACCCACAATAAGAGTCTGTGTGGTGATGGGTTGAATCGCAAATGTTTTGCTCGTGTGGGGAAAAGAATATTACAGTGTGACTGAAAAACCTTAGATGACCTTTTCTTCTTGTTTTTTGTCATTTTTTCTTTTCCCCTTGTTTAGATTTGGGAAGGCCTCATTACCAGGTGAATGAACTGCCATGGCTGCCGACATGAACGTTAAGGTTGGCTAGCGTCATGGTGCGAGTGGACTGACCGATGAAATCTCCAAAGTGAAGAGGCGAGTTGCATCATAACTCTCACAGGTAAGAGTCCTGTGTGTCATATCATTGCTGGCTTTCTGTAAGGATGAATCCGGGAAAGGGGGGAGGGGCCAATTGGGGTCATTGCAAAAAAGGAGCAAAATTGTTTTCATTTGAAAAAATGAAAGGATCTTTTTGGTCTATTTAATTTACATTCTTTTGAAAAATGGAAATGTAGCCTAACCCCTCAAACAACTTTGAATTAAAAAACAATTTGGCCCCAGAATCGAGTTTGTTCCCCCTCCCCAAAAAATTGGGTCCTGGATTCACCCTTGTGTGCTTGTGTCTAGCTTTTAGGGCAACCCTGACCTAGGAATGGTTGTGTGCATTGTGTCAACCAAGTAAGACGATAGGGATGAGGTTAAACCCTTGTAACCAGGGCAAACTAGTTGAATGCACCCACTATACTGGAATTGATCACATTTTCCTAGCCTAAAGTTCCTTTTCCTTCATGGTTCGTTGCTGTTTCATGACAAATCACCTTTGATCAATGGTCCACATTTCCTGAGAGTGAGACATGTTCAATATGTTCAAGGAGCAATTCAGGTTTCAAAGTTTTAATAGTTAAACTCGTGAAATGAAGCATCTAATCATAGACATGAAATACCTTTAGACTGACAACAGCAGGGGCATAATTTAAGGAAAGTCTCCATTTTTAAAAACCATGAGCAAATGGCTGCCTTGTCCCCTGGGGTTCCATGATTTGCTGTGCAGCACTGCTGTGCAGCAGATGTAGAGCACTACATCAGAGAAGATGGATTTGAGGTAACTGTAGCAATTGTCCGTCAAACATTATTTGGCCCTGTTGGTCTTTTGTTAAAGTTCTAACCCGGCACACTTCAATTTTCTTCCTCATAATATTGCCCATTATTACAAGCCATAAGTAGAAACCAAGGAGCACATTATGTGAAATTCAGATAAATTCCTGACATCCCTGTTGTTTAGTGAATATTTTGAAAAGCAAATTTAACCTATTTTCCCGTGTTATCTGATAGAGCACTGAGAACCGTGTTTCCAAAACATTTTAAAAATAAAGTCTAAAAATTAAAATCACATACATTATTGGGATTTTTTCAGGCCTTTGGGGGTGAGCAATGAATATGGACAAAATTTAAGTGTTCAGAGCTCTTATTTCAAGAAGGATCTACCTTAATTTTGACAAATATTGAACCAAAACACAAAACAGGACCACATTGTAAACACTTGACAGTATTTTCAGTCACCATCCAAAATTTCTGATTTGTATCCAACTCAACAGACTTGTGCTCACGGTTAAAATATTTCTGCCCACACTTTCGGGATCAGTCGTTGATTTCTGAAAGAGCTGTGGTCCACAGATATTTTAGGTTTGTGGTCTTCCCTGATTGACGTAGTATACAGTATCACTGTAAAACAGCACCCTCACTGTAGGAAAAGACAATTTTAAGTGTTTAAAAAGTCACTTTTTGATTCACTAAACCCGAAAGGGGTGTCTGGAAAAATATTTTTAACAGAGTACAAATCACAAATGCTTTCAGAAGTAATGGGCCAGCAGTGTCAAAGGAATCCTCTTGTCATAGTTCATTTTCTGACATGAAAATGGATGAAAAGCAATAGACACTAACAGTTTTTTATGAAATAAAAGGAGTAAAAATAAGGAGCATACAAGGATCTTGTGATTTTTGAAGAAATGTCTCAATTTCTGCAGCAACTTAGTTCCTTTTGTGATTAATTTCTTCCCCAGACCTCCTCATATAAAAGCTGTGGGCAGGCCCCAGGAGAAGCAGACCATGATGCTAATGAGAAGAGCGCCCTCGCCTCCTTCAACCTGGAAAGAAGGAAGATGGAGGACGAGATCCTATGGGACTTCACAGAGATGATTCATGAGAATGTCAAGGAAAGGAAGTAACTCGGCTAGATGCCAGTCCTCGCCTCCATCACTGAGGAGGAACAGTTTCCAAGATTGAATGAGGGACCCTCATCAGAATCTTAGGCATTGATTCACAAAAAGGCAAGGAAAGGACTCAATCTTCTCAGAGATGCAGTTCCTTGCTTCCACCTTAGTGATGGAGCAAGTCTGTCTGCTTTTTTACATTACTCAAAGGATCGCAAGGATCATACGTTTAATACATTAAACAAACATTATTCACATTGCGAAAAATTGAGCCTCATTTGATTTAACTATTTTCTGGTATCGAAACAAGAAACTTCCACTACAAAGTACTGAAGTCCCATGACACTGAAAAAATCTGGTCAGCACTTTGTCCAGTCCCTTTACAGCCTTTACAGCCTTTAAGGACAAAATTCATGTCTGATCCTTTCATTTTTTGAGTAGTGTATATTGGTATACAGTACAATGCTGCTATAATGAACAGGGCAGGGTCTATACACAGTGCCTTTGTGTAGCATACCTCGCCAACTATTGCGATTTCATTGGTACTGCTCCAATCGTCGCATTTTAGGCCCAAAAATCAAAATGTTCCAATTTCCATAAAAGGGGGGGGGGAATTCCTGGCAAAAGAGGGCGCTATTTGCCAAAACAGAGATGGTGCCATTTGAAGAAGAAAGGGTGCAATTTCCTATGTTGAAATGTCAGTTGTTACACATACATACCTGTGTATGTTCTTGTTCGTATAAAGCAGATTCTCTTGTGCGGCTGCATGTTTTGCTAAGGGCTCATAACAAGGCCGTACCAATTTTAAAGTTTATCGACATCTTAACTTTTGATCACTGTCATCAATCCTAAATTTTTTTCTTTAATTTAAAGCAAATTTGTGATGTTCAGTAAATGTGCGCAGAAAAGTTGGGAGCCAAGAGGCATGTTTCATGTACCGAATTGTTCAGTATGATGTTGTGCTGTACTTGCATCCAAATTGTTGTTTTAGAAACTGAATGGTGTTCCCATTGAGGCAGCCAAAATACTAGCACTGTTCAGTCAACCCAGTGGCTGTTCTGAACCTCAATTTAACCAGTTCACCCCCCAAACAGAGACATTGACAAATGGTAAGAGCCACCAACATATGGCTGGATAGCTCGGTTGGTAGAGCACTGGTGCGGTGTTCCAGAGGTCGCAGGTTCAAATCTTGCTCCAGTCAATTTCTTCGTTTATCTATGTGCATTTTGTATTTTCCAAATTGTAAATCCACATTGCCAGAGCATTAGAAAAAAGTCTTTCACTTAAAATTATCACAAAACTGCAAGTTGCAAATTGTTTTCAAGGTGCTGAAAGGTCATTACTGCAGAAATTTTTTTTTTGAAAACACACTTAGGGCCTTACTCTGTGCAGGAAAGAAGTATTTGATTTAAACAGGTTTTTAGTCGTAAAACTAGTTTTTTACAGCCACCATGTTTAAATTTTAACCAATTCTTTTTCCCAAATTAATGTCTAAAACAATATTTTCCACTAACATTTTAGTGCAATCTAAGGGCCTTTTAGCACTGACACGAAATTTGTTTCAGTTGAAATATTACCTTGCAAAAATGCTTTGTGTGTATGTAAAACAATCACCATTTATTACTATAACCAGTTAATTTCTATTCGCAAGTGAAATAAATGCTCATTTATTGAAACCATCAGAACAACTTGTTTATACATGTATATCAATTTGTAAAACTGTAGTACTTTGCCACTTATCCTTTTTCCTAATCTGGACCATTTTACACTGCTAGAGTTTAAGGTACATCTGTTTCCACCATGAGATTTTACATTACAGCCTCATGCTACATGAAGTCCTACCAGGCTTAAATATCTTCAAAGCCCCTTATGTAAAGTTACCTCTCGGAGCCTTTTAGTCTCTATCTTGTAAGGGCTACAATTAACCCAATAGCAATATGGAACATTCAGAAGCTATGTTCTTCAACCCCCATGGGATCCTCAGAGCTCTAATACTGATAGTCCCAAGCCCTCAGCCATCCACTCTACCCTTCCTATCAGCTCTCAGACTTCCAGCCACCAGGACTTCCACCCTTGCCCATC